AAAACAGCTGCCCCAGTTGCTGAAAACGCGATCCGAGCGCCTGCAGGTACCTTCGAAGGGTCGCCATTGCCTCAGGGAGAAAGTCTGCCACCTTCGGATGCGAATCCGACACATGCAACAAGCTCCGAGTTCGGTCAGAGAGGGGCCAGCTGTTGAGCAGAAGAATATGTACTTGGGTTTGACTGGGGTTTTTTCTGGACCAATCTTGGCTTGGCTTCAAGGGACAGGGCGGTCTTCGAGCCTCTATGACCACTTGGAGCTAGGAGCCTTTGAGTTGCATTCCGCGCCCAGAGGTCCAGACGGGCATCATCATCGAGCAGCGAGCGCTGGGGGTTGACTGGGGCGTTGACTCCACGTGGTGCGGTGCGGCGGCAGAGTGGTCGAACCGCGAGGCCAATCTGAGCTTCGTGCTTTCCGTAATCGGCCCTTGAGCGGGAGCCATGTTGGGAGCCATGGCAGGCCTTTGTTGCAAGTGAGTTTCGCCAAGGCGTATCTCAGGATTTGCATCTTGTGTTGATAGTTTGGCTTGGCCATGCTTTCTTTTCTTGTTTCAGCCGCAGAACAGTTGCAATGGTGCCCGGAAGGCCGGCTGCCTCCTGATACCGATTGATATGTACCATGGCGATACCAAGAGCCTCACCCAGGCCGAGCAGGGGATACAGTCGCTTGCATCAGTCGGGTGGCAACGCCTTCTCCAAAGCCTGCGCGCAGGATGTGGTTTTTCATCAGAACGGCGAGCATCTCACCAACCTTTGGCCGCAATCCAAGTATGAGTGGCGAATCGCGTTGTTTTTGCGTCCTCCTTTCGTCAGCTGAGCTTTCTTTTGTCCAGGTGCAAGAGCCTGTGGGTCTGGATCGGTAGATATTTGTCTTGTGAAAGGCTTTAAAGGAAAGGGGTAGCCTTTGAAGAATCGAATCGCAGAGTGCGTGTGTGGGTTGAAACATGTGAGATGTGCGTGGTTGGTGACGCCATGTGACATTAGGGTTTGGAAATCTTCTGTGAAATGGGAATGCATTTGTGTGTCACGAGCGCGGTCAGTTTGAAAGCTGGGAGCGGTCGGTGAAGGAGAGGTTCGCGTAGCTTTCTGACCCCAAGAGCCCAAAGCAGATCGCGGAAATCCATGGATTCACGGAAGACCCACCCAGCAACCCAGCAAGGTCCAGTTTGAACAGGCGGGTCGAGTGTGACTCTTGGATTATTTTGTGCACGGTTTCGCCTCGCGAAAAAATGAAATATATGGGAATGTATGTGCTCCACATTCCTGGCCAATCAGCATCGAATCACAAACTGAATAGTTTTTCGATCCATGCGCCTTCTTACCAATTTTCACTTCACCTCGATAGCTATTATTCGACCTGCCAGCTGAGATACCTTTTGAAATGATTGTACTCTTGGTATTTCTTCCAAGGTGAATCATTTTTGTACCTGTATCTGCTTGCTGCCTCTTGGTAGTAACAGCTACAGAGTAAAACTCTCCGATCGAGTTATCTCCTTGGAGAATTACACTTGGGTATTTTAGTGTAACCGCTGATCCGGTTTCTAACTGAGTCCATGATATTTTGGAGCCGTTACCTTTACAAATACCTCGTTTTGTTACAAAATTGTAAATACCACCTACTCCATTCTCATCTCCAGAATACCAATTCTGAATTGTAGAGTACTTGATGTCAGCATTGTCTAAAGCAACCAATTCAACAACAGCAGCATGAAGCTGGTTTTCATCATACATCGGAGCAGTACAACCTTCAAGGTAACTTACGCTTGCTCCTTCTTCAGCAACAATTAAAGTTCTCTCAAACTGGCCTGATTCCATATTGTTGATACGGAAATAGGTTGAAAGCTCCATCGGGCATTTTGTATTCTTTGGGATATAGCAAAATGATCCATCTGAAAATACCGCTGAGTTAAGTGCTGAATAAAAGTTATCCCGAACAGGAACTACAGATGCTAAGTACTTCTTTACCAGCTCAGGATGCTCTTTAACAGCTTCTGACATTGAACAGAAAATAACACCAGCTTCTGCTAATTTTTCTTTGAAAGAGGTAAAAATAGATACACTATCAAAAACTGCATCAACTGCCACATTGGAGAGCATTTTCTGCTCTTCTAAAGGAATGCCCAACTTCTCATAAGTTTCCCGGATGTTTGGATCCACATCGTCCATACTATCCAACTGAGGCTTCTTCTTAGGTACAGAGTAATAAAGCAGGTTTTCAAAATCTGGTTTATTATAGGTTGCATTAAACCAGCTTGGCTCTTCCATTTCTTTCCAGGCATGGTATGCCTTCACGCGGAAGTCAGTCATCCACTCTGGCTCTTCTTTCCTTGCAGAAAGCTCTCGTACAATTTCTTCACTAATTCCTTTTGGAAAATCTTCATATTCGACATCGGTTGAGAAGCCATACTTATACTCTTCTCCGATCATCGATTCTAAAGCTTTTACTTCATCGCTTAATTCTTCGCTCATTAATCTCGTCTTTTGAAACGTTAACTCTTAGCTTTGTAAACCGACTTAAATACACTTTCGTTCAACGATTTACACCCTTATTTAGATTCTGTCCAAAGATAGTAAATCCATCTCTCAGAACTAAATAAGATGTGATTGAGAATATCTATTGGTGAGATAAAGCTTTATCAATGAAGCTTCGAGATATTATATTTCAATCTGTACGGGCGTATTATTTTCTGATACTAAAACCAACTCCGAAATGAATAAAAGTACCATCTCCATTTTCCAATGATTTCATTATTCCAATTTCCGGACGAAGCCCCATATTATCATTCCAAAACCCCAAGCCAAGATTTAGCGCCAAGGTGGCATCTCGATCATCAAAAGGCATGATTAACTTTATCGATGGGTTTAGCTCAGTGGTTTCATTTATGGGAAAGGTCATAATCACAGAAGGATGTATTTCAAAAGTCTCTGATGTTTCAACATCCTCTCCAAAGGCAAAGCCTAAAGGCATATACGCTGCTACTTTATCCTCTATAAGCTGAACCTTTGGTCCAAAACCAAAAGCAAAGAATTCTCCGAACGTAGATAAATCATCGCCATAAGAAGGAACTTCAAACCGAAACCTCAAATCTGTCACATCGGAAAGACCATATCCAACCTGAACTCCCATATTGGTTTGGATGTGCTCTGACTCTCCCTCATTGGTAAAGCTAACGATGGAAGCTGCAGGAGTAATTTCAGTGTTACCCTTTCCTAAAGTATCCGCACTTTGGAATTCGGAAAAGATGGTTACACAGTTTGAAGTCAGAAAAATCAATGAAATGAGTAGGAAAGAGTAGTTTGAACTTTTCATGCTATACACTTTTGAATTGATAACCAACATAAAAATAATACATCTACAAACGATTCCTAATTACGATTATCCCTTTGTAAGAATGAGCTGAGATTCATATCTGAAAATCTTTTAAGCTATTCTTCTAAGTATTTATGAATTCTAAGGAATCAATACCTCTAGTAACTTACTTTCTTTTGATGGTTTGATTTCAATATCTAAAATCGAGTTAGGGACTAAAATTGAGTCGCCTAATTCAAAAGACATATAACCTCCTTCAAAATTAATCTCACCCTCTCCTTCTAAACACATCAATATGACGCATGAATCATATGCCTCATAGTTTCTCATAATCGAATTTTCTGATTGAAGTCTGTTCGTAATGAAATACTGGCTGTTGCCAATCTCAACCTCGCTGGCTCCCTTATCATAAATCGTTTTATACTCTTCATAATATTCGAAATCTATCGCATCAAGAGCTTCTTCAACATGAAGTTCTCTGCTATTTCCTTCTGAGTCTACTCTATCAAAATCATAGATACGATAAGTTATATCTGAAGTCTGCTGGATTTCTGCTATCAATAACCCTTTCCCTATAGTATGTACCCGGCCCGCTGGTAGGAAAAAGACATCATCATTATGTACATCTTCCCGGTTAAGTATTTCAGTGATATTTCCTGCATCGAATATCTTTAGGTATTCCTCTTTGTCAACAGGTTTGTTAAAACCGGAGATTAAGGTTGCTCCTTCTTCTGAGTCTACCACATACCACATTTCTGTTTTACCAAAAGAGTTATGCCTCTTCATTCCTAGTTCATCATCTGGGTGAACCTGGATAGAAAGGTCGTCATTAGCATCAATGAACTTGATTAGAAGCGGAAATTTATCCCCAAAAGTGTTATAAACCCTTTTTCCTATAAGATCACCTTTATACTCGTTGATTAAATCTGTCAATAAACTCCCTTTCAAAGAGCCTTCCGAAACAGTTGAGATATTACCTGGTACACCGGAAATCTCCCATGATTCACCGCAGTTTGTTGAATTTCCAATAGGCTTTTTGAGTACTGATCCGAGCTTCTCGCCACCCCAGATTTTATCTTTTAAAATGGGATTGAATTTTAACGGGTATAGTTTCATCTGAATAAATTGTTTTAAATAGAATCTGAATTATGATAGTAGCGATGCCACACAAGCAGTATTAACAATATCTTCCCAATTGCATCCTCTTGATAAATCCATCATGGGCTTAGCTAATCCCTGGATAATTGGACCGGTTGCTGTTGCTCCACCAAGTCTTTCCGTAATCTTATAACTAATATTTCCAGCATCAAGGTTAGGGAAAATGAAGACATTTGCATTCCCTGCCACAGAAGAACCAGGAGCTTTTTTGCTTCCGATTGAATCCATTAGAGCAGCATCAAACTGAAGTTCTCCATCTATATTCAATTCAGGGGCTTTCGATTGTGCCAAATGTAATGCTTCTTGAACAAGATCAACTCTTTCATGTCTGGCACTTCCTTTTGTAGAAAATGAAAGCATTGCTACTTTCGGATCATTACCAGTTAAAGTAACATGTGTGGAAGCTGAATCTATAGCTATAGAAGCAAGCTGTTCAGCATTAGGATAAGGTACAACTGCGCAATCGCCATAAGAGAATACCCTACCGTCTTCAAAGCTCATCAAAAAAATACTGGAAACAACATTTGAGCCCT